TTCGTTTATAACGGCTAGACGAACAGGTTTTCACTTTAACGTTAGAGTTTAAGGTTTATTGACACGTTTTTGGAGGAAAATTTTTATTTTATTTAAAAGTTCTCGATCGCTACAACCTTACCTCCTTAAAATAATTTCCCCAACCAAGGGGGCATAGTCCATCACCTAGTAATCTGTTTGATGGTGCTAATCTGGTCTTGGCCGACTTATAATTGCAACACAACTCGTTCCTCCCACGTGTCGCCCAGCGACTTTTGCGCCCGAACAACTTATTCTTTGCCTTGAATCCTTCGACTGGGTTGTGGATTCCGCCCTCGTTGCTGATCTGGCTTTGGTCGGCTTATCCATGTTGATGTTAGCTAAGTAGGCGGGTGGTTGTAGGCAACGACGATGAGTGATGGTGATTGTAGCAGGTGATGATTTTTTTTTTTTTTTTGTGACGTAGGAACCCGCAGTCGTTACCTGCCAGCGGAGTCCCTACCACTGTGAGTGCGCACTAGGTAAATCCCGCTCCATGTGCAGTAGCCCGCAAACCACACAGGATAGGTAAACCGCATTAGACAAGCTCGGTGCGACGGGCTGGACCGAGGAAGTGTTGACAGGGGATTCGAACTCGTGACCTTTGGTCTTCGGGTTCACCTGCTCCACCAACTCGACCTCCCCCAAAGGGGTGGTTTTTGGTTTTGGCGGAGGTGGGGTATGGTGGGATGAGTGGAAAAGATGAATCATATTTTATTTATTTATTTATTTTATTTTGATTTTTTATATGAAAAATTTAAGGTTATCCTTTTCTCCTTAGCCCTCGATGGACACACATTTTCACATAAATTCATTATTTTACAATTCATTTTTAACCATACATTTTTCTATAAAATAAAATTATAAGCAAATTCAAAATTTTTCCGTATTTTATAAACACATATTTTTCATCACATCACATCACATCATAAAATGTATTTTCTTCATCATAATGTGCATCAAACACCCCCTTAAAAATTAGTTAATATTTGATCAGATCTTTAATTTTTTGTCAACTAACTGAGAAATTAACGTTTTTTGTTAATTTGGATTTCATATGCGAGTTTTCAAAAAGTTTGGTACCGTAAATGTCACAAATTAAATGTTTGAATCGAATCTGTATAAAAATGAAATGTTTAGTATCGTGACTGTAATTTCCCCTTTAAAATATATATTATCGTACTTTAGAATTAGTGGCA